TGTAACAATTCCCTTTCACTTTGAAATAAATGTTTTGAGAGTGTTTCAACTTGCTTGGATAACAATATATTATGCTACCCTTAAAATTAAAGGTGATCTCGTCATCAAGCATGTAACTATTTATACTTGTATCTCCGCTCATTTCTCATGGACTCACTTAAATTATAGTTTGTTAGTTTTGTGACTTACGAAATTCGGTTACGCCTCGTTTTGTAAAGAACGGTTTGCATAGAGTGTATGGCTATCACCAAGAGAGGATAAAGGGGACAGAGGAGGCATCCCCCATACACACCATATTCCATAGGTAATTCGTCTCGAGTTATTTTTAAGACCACAGATGCCAAAGGGGATTAGACAACAGCCAATCACATAGCGCGAGTGTGTTCCGCGTGGATGACCCACGCTCAGAGCCACGCGTCCTTCACGAATTGACGCTGAAAAAAGATGGCGGAAGACGCGGAGAGCGATATTGCTATTCGTTTTGTCGACGAAAACAACTAAAGAGAATTTCTACTAAAGTGGTGTCAGCGAAATGGAAATTAAGAAAGAATCGCCCTTCCTCTCTTGTATAGAACTAACAGTACAGCAGGGAAATCCTTAACACACTGAATATTCTCTCAGAATCATTTATAATTTGCAGTTTGAAGAGGGCAATTTCTGGTTTGATATTTATTCTTTCATTAGTCTTTTATTATTCAACAACAATAACACTTGGCGTCCTACTTGCCTTATTGTACAAACGACGGGTTTCAATAGATCGGCGAGATTTCTCATTTTATTAAAGCGCTGAGGTTACGACAACTTCGAGTTACACTGATTTCAGGGGTTGTCTAAGAGTCCAGCGATTCCCTTTTCCCAGGTTAGAGCCGACTAATTTCGCTTCAATATTCAGAAATGTTCTCGATCTCTTTACGCGTTCATTGCCTTTCGCCCGACATGTTTTGCACGGCGTTTATAGTCATGCGAAACCTCCACGAAACCTTCACGCAGCGCGCGAGGTAACTTTATCCCGATTCGAAAAATAACTCGAGACCAATTACCTATGGAATACCTTATTATAGGAAATTAACGCTCCATGAAATTAAGGTATTGGAAATAAACGCGACTTAAATTAACGCGAATTTAATGGGAAACGACTTTCGAATAAAGAAATTAACGCGAAGGAGGAGGTAGAATTTCATAATAAAGGAAATTAACGCGATTAATTACCCGAAATCAAAGGAGAAGATATTGACATCACTTCTGACAGCGACAACGATGAACATGAACTCGAAATATTGTAAACCTTCGCCTTAGCTTTTGTGAAAGATGAAAAATAAAGGGTAAATGGAAAGAAAAAAAGCTTGTAGTTAATGTTTTTTAGGTGTCAAGAATGTCTGGACAGGTTCCAAAATTGGGGTTAAAATACTGGAAATTAAGAGCGTGGAAATGAACGCTGCACTTAATTAACGTCGCGGAAATTAACGCTCAACAAAATTAACGCGACTTAAATTAACGCGAATTTTAACGATTCGCGTTAATTTCTTGGAGCGTTAATTTCCTATAATAAGGTAGGGTGTGTATAGGGGTGCCTTCTCTATCCTCTTTATCCTCTCTTGCTATCACCAAAAACGTCTCGGGTGCATGATTAGACACGTGATTTGAAACCCAGCAAAACTCCCTTCTTCTCACTCAATATATTATATATTTTTAGGTGTACCAGGATGTATTAATATACCTCAAGTAATCTTATCAGGAAAAAAGTGAGACTTTACTTCCCTAAAAACCATTTTTTAACCGTCCCCATAGCGGTTTTTTTCCGACATAAAAATAAAACAAAGAAAGCTCCTATTGGTCGTTTCCGCGTTTGCTGTACGTTGGTGATATATTATTGATGCATCGATTGCTGGTTGAAGGTACAATATCCTTGGCTGTTCTAGCATTTACTTAGTTCACCAATGGCTTTTATATAGATAAAACGTTCTTTTGATTCAGGGTATACTGGAGATTGATCGCCAAGGGTTTGAAAGACATGATAAATATTACCAGGTATTAAGTCAAGATTAAAGTATCATCATGGCTAATTGAAACAATCTATTATAAATACAGAAAAAAATTACCTCTAAATGTCGGAATTGAAAAAAAAACAAAAGTAGAAATCAGTAGCCTCTAAATAAATGCCAGAAAAAATATTTTCTAAACCCAAATCTCGCACTGAGAAAACATTTTTTAAAGGTTCTTGCAAATTTGATTTTATGAAAAAACTGTTCGTAATTAGCAACATTTCCGGCAAAAAACAATCCAACTTGTTATTGCACTTGTGGCTCGGCGCAGTTATTCAAGGTCAATACCTCCTACGTTTGAGAATAAACTTCTTGCTATAAACAAAGATTTGGAAAAATTGCGGGGGGTGAGCACAGTTGTATTAGATAAAGATGAAAACTTGTTATGATAAGGATTTCAATGACATCGCAGTTGTCATAGCAACGGAATGACGCCATTTCCTATTTTACGTTCAGCAGTATTTCTCTTCACCGGTAACTGTTTTCCAAAATCGTTCAAGGGAGCTTTTTCCAACAATAGCAGCCTCGATGTTCGTGAGATTTAAGTCAAATCTTTAAGAGCGTTATCGAGATATTTTCCAATGGAGTTTTTCCGTGGGATGCCTGTGGCACTGCCACGGTAAAAATCCGGTTCGTTTGTACCCAAAATTGCAAAGCCAGCCAATAGGATTGCCTAAAATCTTTATCGATTATCTCTTCTTCCAAGCCGACCAATCAGATTGTATAAACTCTGTATCGATTTTTAATCGATTTGCTTCCTGGTGAACAATGTGATGCGTTTTGTTTGGCTGCCAGTTTTCCCACTCGTGGTTTAGGATGGCTTGTTAACCAGCGAAATCCTTCGGGATAGTGGCAAGTCACGAAAGGCGACCTAAGCCAAATTATTTCTTTCCTTCATGATTCTTTTTTGTTTAGGTCTAGCTTTTTCATATGGTTTTAGTAGCGTCTGGTTGCGGGCCATAATTTCCGATAGATCAGTTTTCTATTCGGAGTTCCCCAGTTTTTGCGGAGCACAGCTAGAGTTCAGTTATTTTCTTTTCTTATCAAAAAGAACTTGACGATGGGAGGTTAAATCGCGTAAATTTCATCTCGAACCCTTGACAATTGGCGGTGAAATCGCGAAAATATTGTCCTCGTCGATCGACGACTCGCTTTCGGCATGGATTGGACTTCTGGATGGGACACGGATCAGGACCTTAGTAAACTTATTATACCTTGGAATCAGGGAAAGTCATTGGAACTATATTAACTTTGATACCTTGGAAACACATTGAAATTAATTTTTAACTGTATCAAGAGCAAGAACCTTATAATTTGAAAGTAGAACCTAATTTTGTAACCTTGAAATAGCTTGAAACATTGGGACCCAAGCTGGGACCTATTTCGTTCGCCTACAAAACAAAACTTTTGTTCCATTAACCCAAAACTACAATGTTCATTTCTCTTTAAAAAAAGTTACCTGTGGCTACTTACTACCAAGATATGCGTATCTTTATACATATAGTTCCTGTTCAGGTTAATCAGAGAGCATTATGCGCATGTTCTCCATTACTTTTTTCTGTTAACATTCCAATTTAAGTTACACGGGTAAACCAACCTCGTCCCCAGGGGAAAAGCCCTGGGGACGAGGTTGACGGGTAAACCTTGTTTTGATGCAAAATAACTTCTTTCTCTTATGCAAATCGTGCTATGAAAATAACTACATATCGATAGATCAAAACAAGATCAACTCCATCCTTGCGACCAGTAACGATTATAAATTTAGCTTGCGTAGAAGGTATCGAAAGGGGGTAGGGGATAGGGAGGAAGCAAAAAGGGGATGTGGATTGGGGAGAAATATTAGCCTGTCACGCAGGCTACTATAAATTCAGTTATAGGCACATTAAACCAGCCCATACAGGTAAGCTACTCATCGACGCTCATAACATGACACATCTTTCCGGTTTCCCTAATTTTTCCAAATTCAGATAGAACGCCATTATGTTTCCATAGACCAACGCATCCCACGGAAACGACTTTAGGCGTACGTCTTGTTGTGATTAGAAATATAGTTAAAAATGGATAATATTGTAGTTTAGCCGTTATCAGCAGAAAACAAGGCGCTTTTGACATGCACTTTGACCTTATAGTAGTTACAATCTATTTAAAAATGTGTGTGAAAGATCGTTAAGATAGGTCCGGTCGATTGCTAGAAAGAAGGATTTATTTTTTTATGTATCGAAGCGCTCTTGCTAGCGGTTTGTTAACATTTTGGTCTACTTTGACAAATTGGCAAATAATTTTTAAACCGCTAGATGGAATTTTTTGAAAAAAAAAATGAGAATCTTGCCGAGGAAACGTCGTTTTAGGAGAAGTTTGAGCCTCAATGCTATTGATATATTGAAAGGCAGTAAAATAAGGGCTACGATTATCTAATTTTTTATCGGAAGTTTCCTGTTTACAAGTGAAAGCCTCTTATTATTCGAGGATATTGTCTCCAAGTTTAATTTTTACGTGAACAGCAGCTAATAGCAAATAGCAAATGCTAGCTATTGTTGTGCACGAAAATATGAAACTTGGAGACGTTACCCTGAATAATGAGGGGCTCTCAGTAAAAGCAAAATTTCTGACAATATTGGCGAATTGTAGCCCTTATTTTGCTGCCTTACAATATTTCAATAATCTTGAAACTAAAAGGTCATATAAAAGGACGTTTAATTTCAAGAATAGTTTGGAATAACTATATCGAGCCACCTTAAGGACAGGGAACTGTTCGTCAAGTCTCTCTAAATGTCCAATCGGACTGAAATCGAGCAAAAATTTTCAGTACGCGACTTTGCATGTCTGTTTATATATTTTATTTGTGTACTTATTCTGTAATAATTCCTTATTATTACATTTTCTTATTCCAGATCCTATTTAAACAGAAAGGAAAACAGTACTGAAATAATTGTTTAAAGGATATCTATTACAGCGACAATGGACATCTGGATTGCAGTGTGGCTTACTCAGTTTATCATGGTGTTTATAATCAACGCCTTCACTCTCGTCGTCTTTGCTAGGAGCCGCCATCTACGCAGGCGTAACACGTACTTGATAATGAACCTAACTGTGGCTGATTTACTGATAGCAGCCGTTTCAGGACCTGAAACCATTTTAATTTATATACGAGACAGAAATCTGGAAAAAGGCTTCGGGGTTTTATATTCAATAATCTCTGACATGTGTTGGATAGCTTCACTGGGTAACCTAGTTTTAATTTCTTTAGAGCGATTGCACGCAACACTGTACCCCTTTAGGCATTGCTTACTTGGGAAAAGCTTTTACTATAAGATTATCACTTTTAGTTGGTTTGGAGCTTTGACTCTAGCATGTGGTGTACAAATCAGTCGCATGAATGATGTACCCCTCGCAGATCGATACCCCTGGATAATTTATATTTTTCTTACCCTTGCAGTACTAACAATATCTTATGTTATAATTATTTCAAAATTTATTAGAAAAGCTCATGTCCAGCAGTTAGGGTCAGTTATGTCAGCAGAAAGAAAACTTTCACTAACTTTATTCATAGTTAGTGCTGCCTCTATACTTACTCTTCTTCGCTGGGTAATAATTATTTGTATTGCGATAAGTTCAGACCGTGTTTTATGGCTTCAGTTCACACCTATGAAGATAGCATCAACATTTTATCACCTTAATTCTATATTGAATCCAGTGATCTACGCAATTAGATTGACAGAGTTCAGGAGAGCTTCGAAGGAGTTTTCTGCAAAAACAATGTGTATCCAGTAAGGCAGGATCAACCTATTGGACTGCAAGCAATGTAGACATGAACTCTATATATAGTTTCGTGGACGTTTATTAATTATGTTAACATTAAATGTATCCATCGGCAATTAAGATCCCTCCAACGTAGACAATAGCTTTGTTTAAAAATAAAGATTGTGTTCCACCGAAAGAAGTTTGCATAAATAATTGATAAATTGCAGGTATTCATCGCTCACTTGTCAGCAGTCAGTTATCTGACCAATCAGGTCATGATACAAAGAAAGTCTAAAGGCTCCCTCGCCTTTTTTCTGTTCCAGGCTACGCACGGCTTGCTTCGCTGGTCGATTTTCTTTTTCGCCCCGCTCCACTGCCGCGCATCTTCGCTGGCTATACACCTACACAGAGAATGAAATAAAAGGCTTTGTCAACTCTAGTCAATCAGTAGGGGTGATTACGACCAACTTTTAATATTGAAAATTAAAACAAAAACTTGACGGCATCTGATCGAGGTAAAACAGCTGTTTTCGAGAAAGGTTGTCGGGAAAGCACGTTTTATTGCACGCGTCAACCCCGTATGGTATTGTGGTTCCCAGCTTGTTTCAGTATTTTAAGGAAAACTTAGAAAATGGTGTTTGTAAAAACCTTTGCCAGTCAGTGAAAAACAACAAATAAGGTTCGAACGCCACAGTGTCAAAAACTTATCTCATTTTGAAACTGTTATTAATTTGAAGCAATATACATCTGGCCCCAGTTGTTCGAAAGGCGGATAACGCTATCCAACGTTTGAACAACTGGGGCCTGATGTTGTTATGTAAATTTCAAAAGTGATAAGGAATCTTCCTCCCAGAGAGCGAGTTCAGCTGCTTCAGCCTAAAGAAAACTTTCAGTAACTTTATATAAAGCGCTGCTTCTACACTTACTCTTCAGTAGCAGATCCAGACCTCCTGATAAGAGGAACTAAAAATAAGGGAGGGAAGGTGGGCCTCCCTTGGATCCACCACTATTTATTCCTCACTTCTGTGCACTTCACGCATGGTATCATATCTCATCACAAGCGCAACAATAGACCTTTCCAACAAGTTTTTTTTTTTTTTTCTTTTTTCATCTTATGGAATAAACAAGTCAGGAGATATCCGTCAACTCCGCTAAAAAATGCCTTTAAATTAGTAAAATTGCTAATTTTGAAAGTGATTTGTTTAAAAAACTAACAAGGATAGAACTCCTCAAAGTCGCTTGATTTTGCAGACGTTTGTATGGTGGGATTTTTGCAACTTTGCTGAGCTGTATCTTCGCTCGCTTAGGACGTATCACTTTTAAACTTGGCAATTTTACAAATTTTAAACGTTCTTTCTGTTAGTGCAGATGGATTTTCCTTAACTTTTCTATGTCCAAATTTGAAAAAAAAAAACGGTGGAAAGGTCATTGGCATACGGTGATTCCAATCAGGGGCTCCCTTGCCCTCTTATCTCAGGGTCTGGATGACCGCCGGCTTGCCCCCCACCCCCTCCATTTCCCCTTATCTGAAGGTCTGGATCTGCCACTGAAGAGTAATTCTAGAAGCAGCGCTTTGAGTAAAGTTACTGAAAGTTTTCTTTAGGCTGAAGCAGCTGAACTCGCTCTCTGGGAAGAAGATTCCTTATCACTTTTGAAATTTACGTAACAGTTTCAAAATGAGATAACTTCTTGACACTGTGGCTTTCGAACCTAATTT